AAAAAAAAAAAAAAAAAAAAAAGAAGTAACGAACATTATTTATTTCTAAATACTGTGGATTGGAAAGGACTCGATTTTTAATCGATCGATGCGTGAAAGCCAATATTGCGAAATTGTTTTATAGTTTATTAATCGAGAGAGAGAGAGAGAGAATTTATCGCGAATTTTATTATTGAATAAAATTATTTCAAATTATCATCGAGTTTGATAGTTGATAGTTGGAGAAATCATTTTTATTGAACGAATTTATATAAATTTATATAAACTAGGAACCGGGCTATTTTAGAAATATCCTAAGAAAAAGAAACTTTCGATATTACGATATTCTTTCCTGTTCTAACTTCTTCGAATTAATTCGTAGTTACATTTAATAATTTACATTTCACGTGAAAAAAAAAAAAAAAGAGAGAGAGAGAGAAAGAAAAAGTATTCGATATCCATTAATCGGCCTCGAGAAATGTTTCCATCCCACAATATGTACAAATTGGCATGCAAATTTTTAAATTATACATAATGGACGATTCTCGTGTGCGCCTAGAATTTTAATACCGCGATATCAATAGGCGTAGTAACGGATGTATTCTTCGAGCCCAACTCGAAGAATCCAATTTAGTCCTTCCTACACCGGCCTGGCCATGAATGACTCCTACTACCGTGTCAATGGAACGTCCGCGCTTCTTCCTATTTACGCCGTTAATTGATGCACACGACGAATGGGCACACGTTGCGTGCACCACGTTTCACACGCGTCCACGATCCCCTTCCTCGATTTTTTATAACACGCCTCTTCTGAAATAATTGAAACCGTTTCCCCATCTTCTTTACTCATCAAATAATCTCAGATTAAAATTTAACGAACGTTTTCTCGTAACGCGTCATTAGCAATCTTATTATTCGCGGAAAAGAACGAGGTACAAGTTGGATATCGCGAGGGATACATCCTTAGGACGCCCCTTTACGCTCAAGGGGCAAAGACCGACCTTGACTACATAGTAGTTGGCTACGTTCGATACAAGGCCCATGTGCTTCGCGTCGTTCGTTTCCCTTTTTTTTTCCCTTTCTCTCTTTTTCCCACTCCTCCTTCCGTTCATCCGACAGAGATCCCTCTTTCTCGCTCTCGCCTCTTTTCCCCTTTGCTTCGACTCGTGTGTCCTTCCTCCTCTCTCTCTCTTCCCTACTACTCCCGTTTCCCTCTTCCTCGCACCTTCTTCCTTCTTCCGTTCCCACTTTCCTCGTTCCGCCACAACCCCGCGCGCAACCTTCGGCACACGTTTCCATTCATTCACGTGGGGTAACACAACGGTCCGCACGTGCGTCCGCAATTGCAACTTTCCTCTTATCGAGGCCTTCGCCTTCCGCGATTTCCGGTGGAAGCCGGATCTTCGCCTCGATTCACTTCTCACGTTATCGGGTCGTGGGATAATTAAGAGGGATGAAATTAGTGAAATGATCGTTAAGATAATTGATTAAATGGCTTTTGAATCGGTGAAGGTAAATTGATGGGTTTGGAAAGAAATTTGCAAGAAAAATATTTCAAGTTGTACGTACTTGAAGGTTTCCGCCTCGTCGAAATTTTAAAGTAAAAGAGATTTCGAGGAACGGAAATTCGTTGTACTTCGGACGAGAGTCAATATTATTACAATTGGAAAACTCGGCGGACAAAGGAAGAAATACACACGTTATAACTGGGAAGATCTCATACTGATTAGTCACGTCGTTCATTGCAAGGGGAAAAAAAAAAAGTTCTTTGTGAAACGAACGAATTCCTATCATAAATCGAACGTTAACGTCGCGACCCAATTAGCATCTCGTAAAAGAGAAAGAAAAAGAAAATCTTGAAAAGAAGAATCACGGAAATTTTATCGAATTACATTTTATCGGCGAGATTAAACTCGATTAAACCATCTCTCAATTTTATCTTTCTCGTTCCTGAAAAAAAAGAAATGAAGAAAAATTTCCACCAATCGCGCTCCTATCAAATCGATAAAATTCGATTCGAAACACGAAATTAATTAACACGCTATTCGATACAAAAAGAAAAAACTATAAAATATAAGGAAAAAGGAAGAAAGGGAAAAAAAGAGAAAGAAAAAAAAAAAGGGTATCCCTCCGAGAACAATAATCGCGATACACCGAGCGAGTTCAGGGTTAGTTGGCCTACTGACGTACTTTAGGATATCCTGAGGGGTCGAGAGGTCGTTGATACGAGGCGGCGAGGGTGGCAGGCCGAGCGACCTTGAAGAGCAACTTCCAGGATCGATGTCTGCCGGGTACACGTGTCCCACCGACTCCTCGTGCTCCCTCCTAACCGTATCGCCCTACGCCCTTCTGCTTCCCCTCCGAGCTGGCGGACACGTGCCGGCACATAAACAACCTTTCGAGCCTTACCTCGTGACCCGCCGACATTCTCTTCTTCCTTCGCGGTTTCCCCGTGACGTCAACTCTTCCCTGTTTTTTCGCCATCCTTCTCGGCAAGCAGCGCTTTTTCGTTCTCGTTCCCGCAAAAGGATCCGAAAGGAGTCCTTCATCTTCGCGCGGTGGATCATGGCCGACCGATTTTGCGCGGCAAATTTGAAAATTTTCTCTCTTAAAGTGTACATAATTGTATCGTTTCGGGATTGGAAGAGTTCTTCGAATTCTTTTATTTCTTGGTCTCCAATGAATTCGATATCGAAGTGGATGGAGGTAGAGATATGATAAAAAAGTAATCTCGATTAATCTTGTTATTTTAAAAAGTATCACTCTTTTTAAATTGTTTTAAATTCTTAAATTAATTAGGTATACCGAGCGGCGTGAAAACGATAGACGATGAAACCGCGCCCAAAGTAATCGTGAAGAAGATCGAGGGAAAGATGGAGACCTTGGAAAGACACGTGCCGCAAATGCTGCTGAGGGGAGAACAGGTCGCTATAATCGTCAAAATCAATTGAGACAGTGAATACGTCCTACTACCGAGAAACGGACACTGGTGACGTCACGCGACATCATGTTGCGACGCATCGAGTCATCGCGAGCAACGTTATATCTCCGTCAATTATATTTATTTATTTTTTTATTTTTTTTTTTCCTCCCCCGTTTTGTATCATTTTCTTTCGAGCAGTATTATCGAATAAACGTCTGCAATGTTTTTCACTTTGATTTATTACACGATCCTGGCAACACGATT